GACTCAGAAAACCAATATACCCACTAGGTGTTTACAAATCAAATATGTATTTAATGCAACCAGAAAACTTACTCTTTATGGAAACCCTAGCGTGCGCGTGCGCGCGCGCGCGCACACACACACACACACACACACACGCAAGTGTAATGTAAATGAACCCCCCATTCATTGGTTCTATAAGTTCAAATGTAAGCACATTTTACTAAAGTCAACAATCTCTATATACTTTAAAATGTGGAAATTTATTTATGTTTTGTCACTAAATAATTACTAAACTACCCATGATTTCTTCCTGTCCCCCCCCCACCACCACCACCACCAACCCCTGTTAAACTAGAAGTCCACAATCTCAGCCACAATACACACTGGTATCCCATTGGCATTTCTCTTCCTTTATATAACAACTTTCTAATTGGCTTAAGTATAGAATAATTGTGTCACAAAAGAAAAATTCCCCTCACCATTAAACTCAAACTCTGGACTATTAACATTAACTGAAGACTGACTCCTCCAACCCCCTAACCTAAGATTAAATGTGTACTAATCTATCACTGTATCAGTCAAGAAAAGCGTTCTGCTGCTGCCTCAGCCTTCACACTGCACAGAATCAGTTCATATATATTTCCCATTTGGGGTTTTGGGCAAAGTTCCATTGAGGTCTCGTCCAGGAAACTCCCCCAGGGCTTTAAGGGTCATAAGTCCTGCAGGTTTATGATGGTTTGGTTTTAACTTCTGACTACACTGGGCAAGATTTTACATACCTGATGATAGCAAGCCTTACTGTGGGCCAAAAAGCTCTGCAATCCAATTGGTGGTAAGTCCTGCTAATTCCCTAAAGCCTAGCAAGGAAGCTAAGAAGGAGGATAAAACACACAAAAAATAGAATTGTTGCTAGGCATACAGAATCTGGCCCTCTGAAAGTGTTAGAGGATTGACTTGTGAAAATGTATGCTTGTGAATTTTTATATAGAGAGTGTGTCTTGAGAATTCTATGGCCATGCTGCACTTGAAGATGGTGTCCCCTAAGATCATTGTGCACATCTTGGGGAATCAAAAACTTGAATCTTGGAAGCCCTGAGCAATAAAAAGGAACCCTAGGACCAGCAAGAGCTCTTTGAGTTTTGACAACATGCTTACATCTTCCATGAGCAGTTTCCTCATATCCTTTCGCCTTCAGGTCTACCTGGTACTGCTAACGGGCTGAAGGTTCTTTCATGTCTAGAAATTCACTCTCTAAAAAAATATCTCTGAGTGGTGTTTATGGTTCTGGTTAATGATCTTAATCCTATATTTGTTTTATTTCTTCAGCAAGAAAGAAAAAGCACAAACAGGTTTATTTATAATTATTTCTTCTTCCTTTTCTTCAGATTACATTTGGACTAAATCATCAACCTATAGATTAGCAGGAGCCCCTTTGCAAAGACATCTAAGTGTTCTCTGACAGAACTGTGCTACATCCAACATACTGTCAACATGTCACCTCACCCACAGCATCCCTCTCCCAGCAATAACCTGTAGCCACGCCCATAATCACTGAAATATTCCGCATTTCTTTTAGGCAGTGAAGGAGACGGGTTTTAATCAGTAAGAAGATGTGTTTTAATCACATCTAATGCAATGTTTCACATGATAGAATGAGCCACAGACAAACTTTGCTACCAACAGAAGTTTTTTTCTTATTTTTTTTTTCTGCATGCTTTTAGCTCTGTTGTTAAACATTTGAACTTTTTGGATTCACTTTGCTGGTTGTGGTGGTATTTTTAAACCCTTACCTGGGTAATAAATCAATAAATATTTATTGCATTCTCTCCAGGGTTTGGACTGTGCTACAAGTTGTAGAAAATATATTAGCCATGGAGGATATTTTTGTTCCCCTCATGAAGCTCATAATTAAGATAGGAAAAGAGGGTTAATAGCATGAAGCAACACCTGCACATAAGGTGCTATATTATGAGGGTCAAGTTACCCAGTTCATCTAGTATCAATGGTTCAGAACTTCTGGGCTCAGCAGAACTTTAAAGCTCAGATGAAGGCTTAGAGAGGTCCCCCCCCCCCCCCCCCCCCAGAAATCTGCACATGGTTCATACAAATAAAATTTCACACTGATTCCAAAGGGGAGGGAGATGGTCCATGAACTTCCTGAAATCCATTCATGAATGCAAGAGAAGTTTATGGATCTCTCTCTTAAGAAATATAGAAGTTCAGAGGAGCAGGAGCTCATTTAATTCAAGAGGAAGTTAAAGGTGGTTTAGGAAAGGCACTGGGATTTAAAATTTACCTTGGATGGTAGATGATATTTAGAAGGGAAAGGAAATGAATCTTTATGAGAGACATAGTATGTCATCTATTTCATCAACAGAATAATTCAGTGAAGAAAGTACCATGTCCCTCCTGCTAGAGAAATAGAGACTTAGGAAACTTAATAAATTGCCCAAGGTTACTCTCAGCTAATTAATTAGTTCCTGAGTTGGCTGGAAACTCATGTCTGTATGAAAACAAATCCTGAGCTATTTCCACTGCACACTCTATTGAGGAGGGAGACAGTAAATCTTCTGTCATCTAATGACTATGTCCTCTAGTGTGCAGACATGTTCTGATGGAGAGATTGGGGGTGAGGAATAAAACCCTTTTCTAGCTCTCGAGGAAAATTAAGTTGAATGAGGCCATGATTGAGATAGGTACTCTATTGATATTATATTACCTACAAACTGAGGACATCTAGTAAAAATAGGTATGAATGATGGTGATTTTTTTTCAAACCATTATAAGTTTGGTATGGTGGGACAAAATTATTGTTTTCAACGTTCTGCTCTCTCCCTGTAATAAGATAATGTCTATTTTCATGTGACTTGCCTATACTTTCGAGTGAGCATCTCCACCCTATTGACCTTGGTTTTGGCCTTATAAAGTAATTGCTTTAACAAATGGACTGTACTGGAAATATCAGTGTGCCAGTTCAGAGCATAGCCTGCAAAGTTTTCTTATTCTCCTCATCTCTGCTGTAGATAGTGGCTGCCCCTTCAGACTGGATCATAGAATGAGCAGATATATGGAGCAGGTATGAACCCAACCTGTAGCCTGGAGGCAATTTCAGCTGGGCACAGTCAAACCAACAGTTCTTCAAATGACTAGTGGAATTGTGAGTGAGAACTAAGTGTTTACTGTGGTAAGTGACTGAGATTTTGAGATTGTTTGTTACCACAGAAAACCCTGACTTCTGATGGTTGGTCAAGCATGGCCTTAAGAATTTAAAACCAACCAAGAGTCCAAGTGTCACCGGAAAAACTCAAATGATATCAATGAGCCCTGTCCATGTCAGTCAGTTAGAAAGAGGGCTGTTCTGATACACCAAGGTTGTGGGTTTGATCCCCAGTCAGGGCACATAACAAGAATCAATCAATGAATGCATTAAAAAAGTAGAATAACAAATAAATGTTTCTCTCTCTCTCTCTCTCTCTCTTCTTTCCTCTCTTTCTCAAATCAATAAATTAAAAAATTTAATTAAAAAAAGCAAATGATGTCAAGGAAAATTCCAAAACCAAACTGAAGTAACCTGGTTGCGTCAAGGAATAACGCAGATCAGATAGGATTCTTGGCTCTTTATGTTCCATACCGGCAGTGCAGGCCTCATCCTCCAGGGAGATAGTGGAAGGCTAAATGCCATTTGAGGACAATGTGCTTGATGAGACAGTCATCACTACACTTAAGAATATGATTTGATTGTGAGTTTTCTCTTCTCTTTCTCATTCTCAGTGTGGAGGGAGGAAGGAAGATGGATACAAGACAGGAAAATATGAGGAAATGGAAATCTCTTAAACAGTTCATAAAGTTGACACCCAGGTTCTGAATAAGAGTATGTGATATCTTCTGAACACACACACACACACACACAGAGAATAAAGCATACACGTTCTTGGTCCTACAAATGATTTCCATGGGACTATTGCTTCAGTTATTGGCCACACAATTTCAATGCCAACCCTGACAAGGTCTAATTAGCATTCTGTCAATCATAATTCTCTACTGAGAGTTTTGTAGATGATGGAGTACCAGTGAGCAGACAGATGACCACCGATTTCTCATTAGCACAACCCCAGAACCTAATTACTTTAACGCATTTAAAAATCAGTCTGTGGTCTCAGCAAAATAAAACTAAAATGTAAAATATTGTGTACTTTTTATTTGATGCTGCTTCTTAGCTGTGCTGTGCCACTGAAACAACAGAGGACCAACGTTTGGGTGAAAGAGAAGCGGGGCAACAGGAAGAAACACACACATATCTTTTGATTCCACCCAATTGAACGCGTTCTGAAATCACCAATGCCCGGGAGACTGACACTTGTGAAATTTGGTTTTTGTAAAAGAAGCTGTTAGGACTGCGGTTTTGGCTGCAGGACTCTGCTGGGCTTCAGCAGCTCAAGTGCGGGAGGCCAAGCCCTGTCCCAGTGCCAAATATTTGTCCACACTCTGCTCCCATGCAGTGAAGACTCAGCTCTGTCAACATCCCCGGGACTAGGGGAAGGTACTCCTCCTCCCATCCCACATGTGAGAAGTGTCCCCTGGTCATGAAGTCATAGAGGCCTGAACACACACGCCTGAAGTGAGCTGCAGTGCTGATCCCCAGGGGAGACAGGGAAATTGGTCCACGTCCCACAGTAACTGACCCTGCGCAGGGAGAACACAATCTGCTCTCAGGATTGTTTGCCTTTTCCATTCAGGTGTTTCTAAGCTCTGCTATTAGATCATTATAATTTACAGAATCTCTCTACATAGGCGAATGGGTTGAAAGATCAGATGGTTTCATCAATGTAGTCTTTCTGTCAATGCCGTCTACCCAGACAATGAGAAACTTTGTTACAGGAAATCTATTCCTCAATTAGAGTCTCCCCGCCTTAGAGAACTAGTCCCAGCTGAATAGACCTTTCTTTCCTGTCAGGTACATGATGCGTTATCTACAAGGATATCAACATAACCATATTTTGGACTAAAGGGCTTTTTACCTTTAAGAAGTGAGGAATGGGAGAAAGTCGAGTTTACTGTGGCATCTGGCTTAGAGGCCCTGATTCAATCGCTCCCAACAATTCAACAAAATACCTATAAAGACACAGAAAAAAATACAAACATTCCATTACCCAAATTGGAACTAAATAACCTATTTTCAGCATCTAGGACCAATTTCTATTAAGTGCAAGAAGGCAAAATGGTATTAAAAACACAATCCATGATTCCTTGGGCTATAACCACCAGAAACAGAGCTCGCTTCCTCCTCTCACCGGAAGAGTGGATAGAGGTAGGAAAGAAGCCCTGCCCCTTCCCAGTATTCAATCCCTGGCTCAGAAATGCAAGCTATGTATTGATTGGATAACCCAGGCTCTCTCCCTATGTGGGTGATGCTCTTTGAGGCCTGGTGCCATCCTCTGTCCACTCTTTACCCCGCCATCACTCTTTTTTCTATATCCAGTCACAGGTGGGAATTTCCAGAAAAAAAAATGCATGGAAGGTGCAAACCCCCAAAGTAAATTACAACAGGTGGGGTGGCATCCCAAAAGTAGTCCTAGGAACAGTGCGTACTTAGGATTATAGCCCTTTAGGATCTCCATCAGGGGCAGTGTTAGGAGGCAGGATGAGATGTGATGAAGTGTCAATCTAACAGGAGCATTTGAGATTTCTCAGCTAGAGTTTGAGAATGGGTCTAGAAGCCATGCATGTTAACGTGCTATTCAGTTGTCCATTTGAAGAATGAGGTCAAAGGCAAAACCACAAACGTTGTCTTTGGAAAATGGCATATTTCTCCTTCTTTATAAATAAGAAAGGGGGTGGAGGGGGTAATTACTAACATCAGACCCATAAAAATGCCAGAGAAAGAAAATAAACCCTAAATCTAAAGACATACAGGATGAACCAAAATTTGAAAATGATCCTGTATAATAAAAGCCTAATACACTAAGTGTCCAATCCTTCATTCAACCAGTTGCTATGATATGCACTGACCACCAGGGGGCAGGCGCTCCAACCCAGTAGGTTAGCTTGCTGCTGGGGTCCTGCAGATTGGGATTGGGTGAGATGAGCCAGACCCACACTGGAGCCAACCTCCAGCAGTCCCACCCTGGCCGGCCAATCTCCCATGTCCCTCCCTGGCCTCTAGAATATTTCTTCTAATTAATTTCCTTTCAAAGTGCATGAATCCATGCACCAGGCCTCTAGTTTAATATAATAATTGAAGGAAATTTAAGAAAACCATCTCTCATCCCCAGTAAGAATATACAGAGGAGCAGAAAACTCATTGAAAATTGGCAAAAGTGATAATCCATCAAATAAGAGGAAAGGAATAAAGAGAAGGTAAGATAGAGACGGCCAAGAAGTGAACATTGAATAGCAAAACTTCAATATATATTAGAAATAAATAAAAAATTGACAATAACCAAAAACTAAAATTGTTTAAGACAGCATCAACTATTCAATAGATATTTGTTGCGTATGCAATAGAAAGGTCTAAAAGAATGCTGACTTAGTTATGACCTCTCCAAAAATGCTAGGGCATTCAGTGGAACTAACTGGAGGAAAGAAATAAACTCTTCAATAACTATGTGAGTTTGCCCTCTGTGGGGGCGTGCCTGTAGATGCCGCAGAAAACTGCTGGTTCCGGGTGCGTGGCCACTGTGACCTCGGAATGTCCCTCTCAGATATGTTGGCAGGTACTGGGGAAATGGAACCAACTATGGTCAAGGGTAGTCTGGGAAACGGGCCAAGTTTCTAATAGTCTAGGAAATGGGGCAAGTTGATATTAATAGCTAGGGCAACGGGGCAAGTTAATATTAGTAGTTAGAGCAACGGGGCAAAGTTGATTAGTAATGTCTTGGTAACAGGGCAAAAATTGATTAATGATGTTTTATGTAATTCACTTGTTTTAGTAACTGCACTTAGCAACAATGATTGATTGTGTAACCTTAAAGGAAATAAATAGGTTGCAACGGCGATCAAAAGGTGCCATTGGCCATTCACCTGCTTCTTGTGTGGGTGTCTTATTTCTTATTTCTTTCTTAGAAGTTTCCTTCCCACAGCCCTCCCCTTTGATGAATGTTGTATGGATACTCATGGTGGAGGAGGGAGACGTAAAGAAACAACTTGGTGTGTGAACAGGATGACTAGAATAGACACACCTCTCTCTAACTAGTGGGTTTCAGATCAGTGTGTTTCCCCAGGCCCAGGTGGAAATGAGGTTATGCTCAATGGGGCACTTATTTTTTTTGCATTGAGGCAGCACTTTTTTATCCAGGAATAGCCAGCAGCACCTTATAACAATTTTCTTAGCAAATGGTGGTGATGGGGCGGGGGGACCCAAACAGTGATTCCCACTTCATGGTTTGATAGGAAAACTATTTGGAGGATATCCATGAACATCTAGTGAGTCAACCAGCACAAGCAGCCTGCAAGAATTTGCAGAGATAGTTGTGTTCCTGGGTGGGCAACTATACATTCCATGTTGTTACACATCTATGTTTAGTCCCTGGCTTCATGTTAGATATGATTTATTCTGAACTCCTTATTATGCCTCTCCCACAAATCAAATCATGCTACAGTACACACTTAATTGAGGTTGAAATCCTTCCAAACATGTTTGGTGCTTGTTAACTTCATTATTTGAGGTTAACCAAAGGCAATGATGAAAACCTTTACCACCAACCTCTAAAGACAAATAGACGAAGTGCTAAAAGAATGACATCCAGTATCAGAACCGTAACAAATATCATCAGTCAGATCACTGAAGGCCGGCCACACCCCCAGCTGTGAGTCTGTCAGGCCCCAGAAGGGCTGGGATGGAGCAAAGGGCCAAAGGCAGGCTTCCCAAGAGAGCCCAGCCATTGACTCATTGGTTGGTCCTCTTCCCCTTCAATTATAACCCAACACATGCATGGCCAGGAGGCTGGGCTGTTGGCATGGCCTCACCCTGGTAGCTGTCCTGCTGCCTGCACAAGAGAGAGGTTTCCGAGTCAGTGGGTGGGTGATGGCTGGATGGGCATGGGTGTGGGAAAGAGGAAAGAAGATGAAGGACTTTGGAGTTGAACACATGGTCAGTTTGGGTCTGCCACGTAACAGTTGTATGATTTCATCTCCCTGAGCCTGTTTCTTTGGCTGTCAATGAGGATATCAGTAGTCACATTGCAGAGTTGTTGAGAGGAATAAATAAGACAAAGAAAAGAAGCACTTACCATTACAGTCAATATCCAAGCCCCTTGGAGGGATGAAGAGCTTGTAACTGGTAGCCTGGAGAACAGCTCAGCAAATAAATGGCGAGAGCAACAGTGGTGCTTAAAGAATCAGAACTCTGTCTTTGGAGTCTAACACATATAGGTTCAAATCTGGCATGAGCACAGGGAAGATACTTAAGGCACCACCAAACACACACACACTCACAGTCTATCACCTCTTCTATAAAGCAGGAATAATAGTAGCACCTACTTTTCTACTCTTTTTTTTAAATTTTTAAAAAATATATTTTATTGATTTTTCACAGAGAGGAAGGGAGAGGGACAGAGAGCTAGAAACATTGATGAGAGAGAAACATCAACCAGCTGCCTCCTACACACTCCCCACTGAGGATGTGCCTGCAACCAAGGTACATGCCCTTGACCAGAATCGGACCTGGGACCCTTCAGTCTGCAGGCCGACGCTCTATCCACTGAGCTGAACCAGTTAGGGCTACTTTTCTACTCTTGATGTAGGATTAAATGAGAGATTTGTAAAGTGCTCTGTGTAATACCTGGCATATCAATAGAACTCCATAAATCAACTATAATATTTAAAATCAGTAGTAAATGCAGCTTGTTTTTGTTTATATAATCTGATATTTTACTTAACATATGAATATATAATAATACAATATAATTCTACCTTATATAATAAAAGGCTAATATGCAAATTGACCGAACTGTTGAACCACCAGTCACTATGATGTGCACTGACCACCAGGGGGCAGACGCTCAATGCAGGAGCTGCCCCCTGGTGGTCAGTGCACTCCCACAGGGGGAGCGGCGCTCAGCCAGAAGCTGGGCTTACGGCTGATGAGCAAAATGGCAGGTGGCAGGGAGCAGGCCTAAGCTGTCAGTCAGACATCCTTAGCACTGCCGAGGAGGCAGGAGAGGCTCCCGTCACCACCATTGCCCTACTTATTGGGTTAGTTTATTACAATAATTATTAGAATCATAGGGAGAATGGGTCCAGACTTCAGGTCTTTATCCTACCTCCATCCTCTCAAAAAAATGCATTTGCTTAGAAATATTAGCCACAGTAAGATGAATTACTCATCTAATGATGACACAAGAGGCTCTGAAAACTTTTTCAGGAACTACTAACTCTGTGTCATGATCATGCTGATAGTACCTGGCATGACACAAGTCTACCCTTTAAGAGAAAGGAACCTCGGATACAAAATGATGTTGTGTGAGGGGTAATCCATTAAACCTGACCAGGCCACCAGATCTGCCTGGGAGAATTCTCAGAAAGCACAGAGGACAGGTAAGTGGCTAAACGCCCAAGGCCCCTCTCCTTACTGGCCCTGAGCACCAATCAGGGACCTCTAAGCCCCTACCACTGAGAGGCAAGAATACACTGAAATTCAAGTTCTTGGCAGAATCAAGCTTCAAGGGAAACACTAGCACAATATTGCCTGTGCAGTCACTCAGGTCATCCAGGGGAAAGTCTCAAACTGCAGTCGAGTGAGTGAAGTGATGAAGGGAAGTCTGAAAGGCAACCCCAGAAGGCCAGATCTGATGGGCAGAAATTCGGCAAGCCCCAGCCAGCGCCAGCAGAGCAAGCCATGTGGGATCTGGGATTATTCTCTTTCCCAGGGTTCTATGTGAATTTTGAGGATTCTAATTCTTTTTCCCAGTGTGTTCAAAATTTAGTTATTTATGACCCCCAAAGGTGTAGATAATACCAACATGGTAGATCAGCCAGGTATAGTATGTTTTTTCTCACATATCAGAAACACTTTTTAACATTCCTTTCTGGATCAATATGAAAATTGTGGTGCTATTTGGCATATGTGATACTTTAGTTGTGATACTAATTGGCATATGTGATACTTCTGTGAG